TCAATTTTTAGGGCAACGTATTCAACTAGATACGATTTGTGATTTTTTAAGGTATTGTTGAAAGAAATCGGTCCGATGTGAGCTGAGAAAAAGTGGCGACAGACACAAAAAAAAACACATTATAGTAAAATTAATACCTACTCAGTTTCGCATCGAAACTAATAAATATTTCATGCAAATAAATATTGAACTATTTTTTTTAAATTTTAAATATAAATTGAACTAATTGAAGGTCAAAGTATGGATACTCTTTTGAAACGAATACTTTTTTAAAGAGTTTAAGATACTAAACAAATACTTTTATGAAAAATATTTTAAATACTAGTTAAATAATTTCATTTAAATGTTTTTGGAATGCATATAAATTAATTAAACAATTTTTTTTAAGACCAAAGGCACAATAGGTGTGGATACTTAAAATTTTAGGTTTTTATCTCTGAAAAGATGAAAAAAAATGATTTAACTACATATTATTGTAGAGTTTTTTGAATCAAACAATATTTTCTTTTACGGAAATTAAAAATTTTCAATATTTTCTAAGATAATTTCTTGGATTAAATATCAAAGAATGTCTTATCCTTAATTAAAACCTGTATAATATATTTGATATATTTTTTCATAAGATAATTTAACCAACAAACATGGAATTGAAGAAATTTTTGTTAAGTCTTATTGTGATATGTCTGGTAAATAGTTTTTGTCTGTCATGTACCAAAAAATTATAAATCAATTTTATCAATCAGGTTAGTTTTCTGCTCTATTGAAATATCGATTAGCAACAATCATTATTGAAATTTTTTAATTGTTTTTGTCCTTCAGAATAATTGGTAAAATTGAATTATAAGCTTACTGAAAAGTACTTAGGCACTACCAAATAGATAATATAATTTTTTTTATACTTATATTACTAACTAAATTATAACACAAAAATAAACTCATAAATTTTGAAATTTAAATTACTCTTTTCAAAATCTTATGATTTTAAAATTATAATATGATCGTAAAAAATAGTTTATTTTCAATTAAATTAACCTGACTTTATTTAACTATAAAATTTATTTTGTTAGCTTATATGTTTAGAATTGCGTACTAAACTTATGATGGATCCTAGTAATTACTAAAATGTATTCTTAACCTCTATTTGTAAAAAAAAAATAATCATTCCTCACTAAAGATTTTTTATACTTCACGAAGAATTTTATATACACTATATTTTAGTGATAGTAAATAGAATATATTGTAGTAATAATACATTTTATTATCACAAAAGTTGATTATAACAGGAATAAATTTTATCCAAAATTTCATGGAAGAAATAATAAATGTCATGAGATTTTTAATGTTTGATAAATAATGATTGCGATTTTTCAAATTTTTGGAACTAATGATATTTTTCCGTAAAAATAGGGGAGAGTGTTGTACCTTGGACCGCTTGTACCTTGGACTAATGTAAATATTTTATAAAATATTGGGAGAAAACAAAATCTCATGGATGAAATTTACGTCATTAGTTCTACTACAATAAATAATTTAGATAATGATAAGAAAAATGCGCGTATTTTTTTGATAAGCAGCAAACCATTTCTTATAAAAAAAAAAACAATTTTTAAAATTTAAAACATGATTTGTTATGTTCTAATTTTTTAACTCAAATTGATAAGGTAAGTGTTAACCTATGTTAAATATTGTATTTAATTGAATGGTGTGGTCCTTTGTTACGATATAAATGTACAAAATGCCCAAAGAACAATTATTTAAAATTGGAACTTGAATGTACCTTGGACCAAAAAAAAAATTGTACCTTGGACCATCCATTAATTGTTCATAAATTAATATTTCATTACGAATTATTATTTAATTGCTTGTAGATTAGTACAATTAAAATGCCTAGAAGCAAACGAGGTATTAAAAGAGTATTACCCAATCAAACTCATTTAGAGAGTGCTGTTAATGATGTTCAAGCAAAGAATCTAACACTATCAGAAGCTGTGAGTATTTATAATGTATCTAAAACCACATTGTTACGGCACATTAAATTGTTCAAGAGTTTGAATACAGATAATTATAAGTACACATCCAAAATTAATCATCGTCAAGTATTCACAGTAGATGAAGAAAAAAAATTAGTTGAATACTTAAAAATGTCTGCGAGGTTACAGTACGGTCTTACCAAAACTGATACTAGAAAATTAGCATATCAGTTTGCAGTTAGTAATGGTAAACATGTGAAAGAATGGGATAAATCTGAAGAAGCTGGCAAGGAATGGATGAGAGGTTTTTTTAGCCGCAATAATACACTATCCCTCAGGAAACCTGAGCCTACTAGTATGTCACGAGCCACCAGCTTTAATAAATTTAATGTTTCTGCTTTTTTCAACAATCTTATTAATTGTTTATCCCGAAGTCATTTTACTCCTGATCGTATTTATAATTTGGATGAAACAGGGAATTCTACAGTCCATGTACCTCCAAAAATCATTGCCACTAAGGGGAGTAAACAAGTTGGCTGTATGACCTCAGGTGAACGGGGCATAAATGTTACCATGATTTGTGCTATAAATGCTGCTGGGAACCATGTTCCACCCATGATTATATTTCCAAGGAAAAAATGTACAGATCCTATGTTGTTACAAGTACCACCGGGTACAATTGGAGGTGCAAATCCATCTGGATGGTCAAATGATTTAATATTTGTACAGTACTTGCATCATTTTATTAAACATACAAAGCCATCTGTTGAAAATAAAATCTTATTAATAATGGACAATCATGAATCTCACATAACAGTAGGAGCTATTAAGTTGGCTAGAGAAAACCATATCATTTTTTTAACACTTCCACCTCATACGTCCCACAAACTCCAGCCTCTTGACCGAACAGTATTTGGCCCTTATAAAACTTTCTATAATCAGGCTGTAAAGGAGTGGATGGTGGAAAATAAGCGTCCGATCACTATATATAATATAGGTGAATGTATAACAAAAGCATATGGCCGAGCATTTTCTGTTCATAATATAACAAAAGGATTTCAAGTGACAGGAATTTTTCCTTTGAATGAAGGGATATTTGGCGATGATGAATTTCTACCATCCTATGTGACTGATCGCCCAATCTACAACAATAATATAACTGATGACACTACTCAAGATGCAATTCAAACAGAACCACGATCTGGCCCATCTAATAGTTTGATGACAATTGAAACTGAATCAAAAACTGGCTTGTCTAATGAATCTGATGAAACACATCCACTGCCTACCCTAATTACTTCAAGACATAATCTAGGCATAGTAAAATCAATTGTTAGTCCAGAAGACATACGACCATTTCCCAAAGCACCTGAAAGGAAACTGAATGTGACTCAGAAAGGTAGAAAAAAGGGTAGAACCCGTATTCTAACAGACACTCCAGAAAAAAATGAAGTAGAATTAAATAAAAAACAAAAAACACTGACAAAGCCAAAAATTAAATTAGTTAAAAAAAAATCTATTAGAAAAAAATTAAAGTTTGTGACCATTGATGAAAGCAGTGAAGAAGATTGTGAAAATTAATGAAATTACCAAATAATTATAATAACAAGAAGACTGTTTCTATAAGTTTATTTGTAAGACTGAAAGATTTAAATTATTACCTATTAAGTTTTAAGAAGACTGTTTTTTAAGACTAAAAATTGTTATTATATTGTCATTGTTATTAATATTGTTATTGTCTATATTGTTATTTTATTTTGTTTTCATTTTATTATAAAAAAAATAAAGACTTAAGAGTTAATGTGAAACTGAAGTTTATTTATTTTGTCTTAGTACCTAGATTCTGATTTAGGTACCTTGCAATTGCAGCCCTTCCATAAATACCACCTTTGTGAAGCTCCCGTCGTACAGGTTTTGTCGAAACAGTATTACCTAAGTGAGCGTTAAGTTCTGCTGTAACTTTAGCCGCAGTAGTTTTATGTTTTCTTGTCACAATCCGTTTTAATGTTCGTTGGTCCCTGTCAGTCAACTTTGGATTTCGCCCACTATTCCTTTTCGCCGATGATGTATTATACACTAATATGTTATAAATACATTTGTACATAATATAAAACTATTTTTGAAACGAAGTATGCATATTTCAATGCAAATCAAGGTACAATACCCCAAATACCAAGGTACAATATATGTTGTACCTTGGCCAATTTTTTATGTTTTTAAAAAACAAATTTTAATTTAAAAAATAATTGATATTTTGGCTTTAAAAAAAATTACCATATACTTATGTGTATTGTCTAAATGAATATTAAAAATGAACATTTAATATTCAAAATTGAAGGTACTAGAATTTTTTTTATAAAAATGGTGCCAAGGTACAACACTCTCCCCTACAGTCCGAAATTCTACGATCCGGCTCTTCATTCTCCGTGATTATACGTTCCGTAATTCTGTGGTCTGTTATGTGTCTTTCCATCAATATATGGTTCGGCATTGTACTTTCCGTCTTTCTACGGTCTGTAAATATTTGTTCAGAAATATTATTTTCCGTTATTATACATTCCAATAATATTTTATTCGTATTTATATAGCCCCCCGAGAATACTTTAATAAAAATATATCTACAAAACAATAAATGTCCACAAGTTTTAACAAATCTAATAATTTTTAATATTCTTTTATTATTTTACGTTATTTTTTTTTAAAATATTTTTTCAGTTTTGGTCTATGTTAAAAGCATATTTTTTTATTATTTTAACGATAGAAAAAAAATTTTAATTTTAAAATTTATTTAAAATTTTAATATTGTATTAATAATTTGCCATTTTAAATCAATAAATTTTATGCTATTCTCGATATGGCCAAATTTTTTTACACGTTTAGGTTGTTTAAAAATAATACTTATTTTTATATGTAAACTTTGTTATTTACTTAAGGGTTGCTCTTTTTAAATTGAAAAATAATAATAATAAATTATGTCAGTGATTTTATATATATACTCCAAATTAATCGAAAAATTGTAATTAGTTATTTAGAATATAAAAACATATTATTATTAATACTACATTAAAAGTAAAAATGGAAGTGAGTAATACACTATACACAATATGCTTGTTTAAAATCTAAAAATTTATCATTTTATTCTAGAATTGGCAATTGATGAATTTTTTGTTGATAATATCCTTTTTGATATTTAATGAAGGTAAATTCTATTTTACAATTTTTATGTATTAGTCTGAAGTTTTTTTCATTTAGGAATTACTTAAGATTCGCTATGCATATATCCATCTAGTTATACAAGTGTTGCAGCATATTCGAACATGAAAACTTTAGATCTAAATGAAATTTTACATTAATTTTTAATTAATGTATAAGGTTATACATTGGAGCTATCAAAGTTTTATAATAAATAATACTTTCTTAATTTGCTGGAAAATATTTTTTCCTTAATAATTACATAAAAAAATTCGAAAGCACAGTGAGGTCACGGCACAGTGTGACATGGCATTGTTGAAACAATTATAGATAATATCTGACATTGATTAAAATCATTGTTATAAGAAATATTTCGAAGCAAATCTGTAGATTGTGTTCCTTATCGATCAAAATCATTTATTAAATCTTACTGAAAATTTTCTATTTAATGATATTAATTTCAAACTTGCAAAGGTTAAAAGTTCATTTTTAAATTATAAACTTTCATAAGAATCAACTTTAAAAGACCAAAAAAAATAGGTTAAATATGAAATGTTGAATCGAAGTTTTGCATAGATTATTTTTAACATATTCAAAATCAATGTTTAAATGTAAATTTATTTTACATTATACTCGTTATAATATAACGAGTATAATATTTGTTTTTATAAATTAGTAATAATCTTTAAAAAAAAGCAATGGAAATTAATCTATTTGAAATCAGCGTAAAACGTGGTTAACCAAAGTATACTTTGGTTTATGCTGATTAAAAAATGTTTCATTTTAGTAATATAATTTTACTGTGTAATTTAGTATAAAAACAAATTTTATACTTTTATTATTTGTGCAAATATTTATTTAAAAAATGTTTTTTTTTGAAGTTACCATTTTTTACTGGTATTTGTCTAAATTTCTAAAATTAAGGGATTTTTTCTAATATTTTATAACTATTAGTTCAACTAGATTCTAATCGGTATTTTTGACGTATTATCATCAAAATTGGACCAGTGAACAATTTTTTTTTTACTATAAAGTATATTATTTGTTACGATTACCCAGAAATTAAACAATAATTGTTCGCTGTTAATATCAGACTATACTAATAATATAATAAATTATTAGCTGTTCTAATTANTACGATTACCCAGAAATTAAACAATAATTGTTCGCTGTTAATATCAGACTATACTAATAATATAATAAATTATTAGCTGTTCTTATTAGGCGGACATCACCGTACTTAATTAATATTATATAAGCAATCTTTCAATATTATATATATATACAAAAATAGTCTAATCAGATCCGACCCGTCTTCTTCCGTCTCAGCTCATCCTTGACTTCACCAACTGTGTGCCGTAATATAACTGTAATAAGACTGAACCGAAGACCATAAGACCCAAAATACCAAAAATAAGGAACCAATAATGGGCCACTCTATATGTGCTGCACATAAATCTCGTAACAGCAAAAAAAACTTTGAGCAAAACCGAACATAGCATACATACCGTCGAGATAACAACTGGGTTTCTAGCAGGTGCCGTCACTACTCGATGCCGAAATAGGTTGGTGGTGGAAACGGCCGATAAAACCAGTTGTCTCCACCACGCCTAATTACCTGACTCGAACATTATATAACCATTAATTTAAGATATATATCAAAGTGACAGTATTACCGAAACTTTTTCAAAAATTAAATTGAAGTAGTCCTAGTTTCTGTACGCAAGTTTAAAATGTGATTTCCTCTATTTAAGGGGAATGAGGGAATTTTTTAANAGTAGTCCTAGTTTCTGTACGCAAGTTTAAAATGTGATTTCCTCTATTTAAGGGGAATGAGGGAATTTTTTAAAAATTTTTAGGGTAATGTCTTCGACTAGATACAATTTATGTTTTTTTGCCGTATTTTGTTGTTCAACAAAATACGTCCCGTAAAAGCTGAGAATGAGTGGTTACAGTCGCAAAAAAAAACATATAATAAAATTAATACCTCTCAGCTTCGTATCGAAGCTAAAATTTTAAAATAGCCTTTTCATAAAGTAGATTATTAAAGAAATAATTTGGTAAAAAATATCTTATTAATTATCAGTACTAAATTTTTTGCGGCATTTAAAAATTTTTGATAATATGAATTTGTAATATTTATTTTTACGATACCAAAAATTAAAAAGTGTATTAAGAAACCTCCCACCTCCTTAAGAAATTTTGGAAGAATTATACAATTTCTATATGGTCAACTAAGAAATTGAAAAAAACAAAAATGAACTATAAAAATATTTAAAATTGGCAATTGATCTGATTACTCTCTAAGGTGTGATAGATTTATTTTGTTTAGTAACGAAAAAATTCAACTTATCCGGGTTCATTTTTATTTAAAAATTCTCACAAGTACCCCCAAAATTTGAATGAGACTTGTAATTTTAAATACTTTTAATTCTTAATGTTTTTCTTTAGCTATTACAATAAAAAAAAAGAAAACCCAGCACAGTGGGGTCGTGGCACAGTAGAATCGTAGCATAGTTGGGTCTACTATAGATGATATCTGACAGAGATTAAAATCACTATAGTAAAAAACGCTTCGATGTAAATCTGTAGATAGTATATAATTTTAAAAAAATGATGAATTTTTTTTACTTATTCTTATTGATTTTGCAATGATGTTTTTAATTTTATTTTTGTGTCTTACCACTTTTTCTCATCTCTCATGGAACCTATTTCTTTCAACGATACGCAAAAGATCACAAAACGTATCTAGTAGAAGACATTACCCTCAAAAATTGAAAAATTTTTCCTAATTTTTTGTAAATTTGAACCTTTACCTGCCCACAGGGGGGATTAAAAATGATAACTTATTCACAAAACATTTACTCTTTCAATTGAACTTGTTAAAGTGTTCCGGAAATACTGACACTTTTATCTTCTCCTTCAACAGCTCAACGGTCTATTAAGGACCTGCGCTACCACTATTAAGTCCAGTTCAACGTTGCATGCTCATTTATCAGTCTCATATCCTTTTCTACGGAGTCTTTCCATCGTGTTCTTGGTCTCCCAAGTAGACGCTTCTTATTTATTTTCTCTATCAGAACATTTTTTAATACATCTCCATTAGCTTTCCAAACATGTCCAAGCCACTCTAGACGTTTACACATTATATATGTTAGTATATTTGGTTTTCCATACAGGTCATACAGCTCCTCATTGTGTCTCTTTTCATAAATTCCCAGGTTGTCATTGTACACCAGTCCATATATATTTCTTAATATTTTCCTTTCCCATCGTATAGCAAGTTTTCTATTGTCATCTTTTGTCGTGGATCAAGTCTCACATACATAGGTTACTATTGGCCTAAGATAGCTTGTGTACAGTGTGGTTTTTGACTTTTGACTGACACTTTTATATATACCTTAAATTAAAGCTAATGTAATATACTTTATTAAAATTAAAAATTATTTAAAATTAAACACTATCTACAGATTTTTATCACTGTCAGATATCATCTATACTGGACCCCACTATGCCACGTCCCACTGTGCTAGGTTTTTTTTTATTAATCTTGATGTCTGTTTTCACCATAAAAACAAAATAAAGTCCAAAATTCTAATTTATTTTATAAAGTATATTATATAATATTTAATTTAAGATATATATAATAGTGTCAGTATTTCCGGAACGCTTTCCAAAATTAAGTTGAGAAAGTTCTACTTTCTATATGCATTGGTAAGTTTTGAATCCCCTTGTATTANAAAAAAAAAAATTATAGTAAAATTAATATCATCTCAGCTTTGCATCGAAGCTAAAATTCATTTGTTTTATTACGTCGTAAAAAATTATATCATTCTTACAAAAAAACTGTAAATACTATTTAAAACAAATACATGTGTTCATTTTAATTATTTTCGGAAAATTTGACATTTTTTGTTTAATATATTTTAAAATACTAGTTCGCAATATTACTATATTTTTTTAAATCCAAAGAGATATTTTGTCCAAGAATCAACTTGCTTGCAAGAGAATATAGAAAAATTCTATATTAGTCTTTTTCAAAAGTCAAATGCAAGATCATTTATGTTTATATAAAACTACATAAAGATTAATTATATTTTTAATGTGTTTGCTATAAATGGTTTATTTTCAATATTGGTAACAATCGAGATGTTTTAACGAAGACGTTTTTTATTACTACTTGGTAACTGGAATAAAGTGATGTCGTACGTTGGTAGTACCGTGACGTATAGTAACTCAAATAAAAAGAATAGAAGTAAAAATAGATTAGGTTGCGGGTGAGGTGAGTTACTATATATTTTTAATAATGATATTTTTCGGGTATGAGTACGAAGGTTTATGAGAATAATGAAAAGTAATAGAAAGACACAGTGATCTTTTAGTGATCACTTAATCTTTCTATGTTTTTACTTTAACTTGTTCTTACTTTTTTTATCCCTCTTATATATTCCTATTTTGTTAATTTTTATAGCTTTATAAATATGCATGAAGTTTCACAAACGCTATTGTTATCCCTTTATTAAATTGATATTATTATTCGAGAGGGGCGGTAGGGCCGAGTCGGTAACAGGGCAGAACTTGACGCGCACTGCCTCGTGGTTTCTAAACTTGGTCACGGGCGGCTTCATTTGCCGAACAAGAAATCAGTTTGGTAATTGCAGTCGCCGTTCCTTTCTCCGGCGACGGACTAATCAATCGTCCCGGAGTATCAATGTTTTAGAAACCTTTTCCTTTGGAATAGGCCGCTATGGCCCTTAATGGGTTTATTAAGCATTAAAAAAAATATTATTTATTACATATTACCTTAAAAATTGATACACAATGTTGAACAATGATTAATTATTTCATTACAATATTGACGTATCTGTGACAGTTTATATTATTATTTATATGTATTTTATTATTTACATAAAAGTTTTAAAATAATATAGTTTATTGTTTAACAAATAATAGTGATGATGTTGCCCATATGTAACAATATGACAATAAATTTACTTGACAAAATAG